ACTAAGGGATGGTTCAGGACTCACCTGATCCAGCCCTAACTATAAGCTTTATCAAAGAGGAATGTCTTAAGCCTACTCTTAAATGTGGTGAGGGTGTCTGCCTCCCGAACCACAACTGGAAGCTGGTTCCACAGGAGAGGAGCTTGGTAACTGAAGGCTCTGGCTCCTGTTCTACTTTTAGAGACTATAGGAACCACAACAACATCACACTGATATTGCTATCATGCGTGATATTTAGTGGTTATAATGTGTTCTCCATCTTAGTTTAGCTTGATAGCACGCCAATATTTGCCAATTATCACTAAACACAAAGTAGAGCTGATGCTTTTTGGACCATTGTTGGTTTTTGGTCATAAACTATATATATTTGAAGATCAACTGCCAGTCTCTGACCTTAGGTGCGTGGTACGATGCTGATGAGCTACTCTGCCATGAGGCTGAGTTAAACTATACAGCGTCACTCTGTCAATAAAATCCTGTATTTTCTTTATAAAAGTATACATTTCTGTATATAACTGCTTACTGTGCACAAGCAAAAGACTGATTACAGTTGTGTCTGCTGGATTACAGATCAGAAAAAGCTTAGCATCTGATGCATAAAGGGAGGTTTTCTGTCTGTGAAGAGAGCTTTGGAGGCTGCGTGTTGAAGGAACTGAGAGCAAATCTCATCTATTAGTCATGAGGTTTAGGGTGGACTAGAGTGTATCTGCAGAGCTTTGTGTAGGGCTGAGTGATTGTGCAGTACTGCATTACTCCACAGCATGCACCCTCCCTGCCTGCATGACTCTCCCTCCTCTTCTCTGGATTCCTCCTGGCTTTGCTTAATAATGTTGAGTCATAAGGTGGGAGGGAGAGTCACCTCCCTCGCTCCCAGAGCTCCCGCACGCTCGTTTTGTGCTTTGAAGATGAAAGGTGGAGCTGATCGCATTCATTTTGGGCTGTAAAGTTATATCCTTCCTCTCAAATTTATGGGGTGGAGTTATTATAGTGCCAGGTCAGGAGAGCCATGTGGCTTCAAACTTTCGTTCTGAAATAAGGCCTCCCTTCCAATTATGTTGATTTAAACTCAAGATGGTAGAAATATAAGGTCAGGAGTCCAAGCCTTGATTCTCCCAGAATAATGTGACCAGATCCCAGATATGAAGTCTGAACATGTTTAAATTATTTGGACTTTTTAACATTTTCATCATCGAGTGTAAGGACCAGTGTGTAATATTTAAGATCTATTGGCAGATATGAAATATTATATTCACAGACATGTTGTGTATCACCTGATAATAAGGATTGTTGTGTTTTTGGTACCTTACAAGGTTCTCTTCTGCAGAGTCTGCCATGTTGAACTGCCATGACAAAGCAACCACTGACTTTCACAGCCACCATAGTTTATCCTACACTCTTGGAATGGCGAGCGTTAACTTTCAGTTGGTTGCAGTCTGCAACTTCACCACTAGATGCCACTAAATCTTACAAACTAATCCTTGAAGTGTCCAGAAATACTGTCTGTAAAGGGTTCTGGCCTTGTGAAAACCATGTACTTCCAAGACATCAGATTTTTGTGAGCTACGGAAGACTTTCACATAATCCAGTTTGAATGGTTTGTTTAGCCTACAGGATGTGTGCAGTACATCTGACACTGCTTCCACAACTGTCAAAGCTTCTCTGTACTCGTGCCTTACAAATAAACTAATTAAGTAAATTAAACTAAGAAGTAGAAGATTTTTTTCATCTGAATTTACAGATACAGTGTACAGAGTTGCTGTCTACTGTTAGGAATAAAATTCTGACGGGAAAATTATGAATAATTTATTATTTTTTAAGTCAAAATTGTATATACTGAGAATAAAACAGGGAAGGTTGCTACTGTTTTGATTGAAGAGAGGATACAGCAGTTCATCATTTGCCATATTTTACTGACTCTACATCACATCTCTCAACTACAAAATGTGGTCAGGAGGCAGCGAATGTAATTAACCTTTGTACAATAGAGCAACAATAGCTTTTATTTAAATATTTAACTCGTGTTTTAGAGCTATTTTGCTCTGAATGGGCAAATATTGCAATCCGTGGATTGATTGACTTTGTTTTGCTGTCACCCACCTCCAAGCTCCAAGCTCTGTCGGAAGTAGCTAATTTAGGTATATTTAGCCAAAGTTACATTTAAAAAAATAAATAAATACTGAGCATATAATGGGTCCAAGAGAAGTAGATTATGACTGGAGTGATTTGGGAAGAGTCTCTGCACATTTTGACAGTATTTTCTGAAAACTTGTCTCCATCAGTATCCATTGTTACTGACATGAATTCAAGCAGCCCAGAGGCACTTTTCTCTGTAAAGGAGCAAGCTTCATTTTACAGCCTACAGGGAGTGAGTGTTTGATAGTCTAAACATACATTTTGAAAAGGGAACCACTTTAAGTGTCATTCAAACTAAGTGCATGTTGAACAGCAAAACTTCCCAAACACTTATTAAAAGAACTCATGTTTCACCACGTTGTCCGCAGTGTTTGGACACCCAGCAAAGAGCAATGCTGTGCAGGCGCGCGCGCACACACACACACACACACACACACACACACACACACACACACACACACTGTTGCATAACGTGATGTGATAGTGCTGGTGGCAGTTATCGGCTGCTGTGGGTCTGATCTATCTGACATCGGATAAACACAGCATCAATGCTCACGTGTACAGTGAGAGAGGGAGATTATCTAGTTGGAAGGAGAGATGTGCTGCTCTCACATGCAGCGCTTTGTCTACATTTTTAGCCAACAGCGGACAGATTGTGTTTAATGGCGGCTAGCTTGTGTTCAGTTTATATATTAAATAATAATCTAAACTTAAATCACCCTAGTGCGGGGTCAGGGCCTCAAGGTTGGGAACCAGTGTCAAGGAGCTTGTGTTTTAAAATTACAATTATGATGGAGGTTAACAAAGTAAATATCTGTTTTGTGACAAAAAAAGGCTCCAACTTCACAACTATGGTGTTAAGAATTCTAATAATCATCACACCAGACTTTAATACCGAGGGGTTAGAGTCGGAGTTTGAATACTCAGTAGTGTGTTTAACTTGTTCTAGTGAGAAACTGAAGTTTTAATGTCAGAGCTACAGTCCAAAGTGATGCATGAACACTTTGCCAGCAGCTGGCATATTATTCCCAGAGCTCGCTTCCTCTAAATCGCAGGATTCTTACGCAGCTGCGAGAGACGGCATGGGAACAGTGAACAGATGCTCATAATTAGCACGGGAATAACGCTGAGCCCTATTTCAAGTTGATGACCAGACAGCATCCAATTTAAACATCTGCCCGAACACCTGACATGAAGATGTACGAGGCTGTGGGTGGTTACTGTTAGGTAACAGGTAAATGGTTGTTCTTGTATGACAAATAAGATTTGTAGTAGTTAAGTTAGTATAGTAGTTAAGGTGTCGCTGCGGTTACTGTCAGTCTGTGTGGAGTCCTTTAATGTTAAGTGTTTTAATGCATGGAAATGAATGTGTAAATATGATAATTAAATAACCAAACCTCTTTTTAAAACAAGTTCAAAATACTGACTTAACAACCGCCCCCTCAGGGTCCACTTACAAGCTTGCTCTGCAGGGTTTGACCACATCAGCAAGTGAGATGGATATGTTTGAAAGCCCCAGAACATGCAAGTGAACCTTGAGTTTGTTTGTTTGTTTATTAAGATCCCCATTAGCTCCCGTATAACAGTCGCTATTCTTCCTGGGGTCCACACAGTTTAAATGGTGACAATACTATACAAATATACACAATCACATTATTCATCACAATACACTGACACAACACATCATAACGCACATATACTGTAGATAAGACAATAACAATTAATGCACTCTATAGACAAACACAAAAACAAAAAACGGGCTCCGATTGCATTTATCATAAATGAACAAAAATATCCTCATGATCTTACAGATAAGTGTCAACATTTCACCAGATTGCCTGTGAGACCTTCTCACACCAAAGAGTATTTATTAATTACTTAGTTTCCTTTTAAACAGTTCTCTTTTAGTATTTTTTTAAAACCATATATATTATTTTGTTGAATAATATGATAAGGAGAGTTCCACTCTAGCATTGCTCTGTATATTACTGTACGCTGAACTGATGTGGTTTTGGATTTGGTAAAGTAAAATAACCTCCAGCCTTGTAAAATAACTGTGTATCCATGTTAAAGGATAGTCTTTTGTAGAACATAAATGGAGTCTTTGTTGTTATGACATTTCTAATAAAAAACATCAGTGAATACAGTAATCTATTTTTCACTTTAAGCCAAGAGACATTCATGCATTCTAAAAATGTTTGTTCTCATCCCACAAGAAAGAGCTACACGTGCTGCTTTATTCTGAACCAACTGTCATTTTCTGATATTACCCAGTGAAGTATTGGACCAAACTATTGAACAATAATCCAGGTTACTCAAAACCAAGGCTTGAGTTACTTGTTTGATAGCTTGTTGTGTCAGATATCTTGCACATCTTTTAATTACAGATACATTATTTCGCATTTTACTTATTACTTTCTCTATGTTTGTCCCATAATAATTTATTATCTATGATAACTCCCAAAAGTTTGGTTTCCTTCACCTGCTTTATTAGTATGTCATCTATACTGAGATCAAGCTTTGGTTTTGAACATAAAGAAGAGTAGAGATCATTTTGTCATCTGCAGCTTCCAAGCTCTTCAGATTACAGATTTAACCAAATGTGCAGACTCGTCTCTGTGTACAAGCTACATGTTTCCCTTATCAGTCTGAACAAAAGGATAATTTTCTTCTGTACATGTCGACGATGAGAGGAACAAAGAAACTGATTTTACCCGTATTATGACTTTGCTGAATACTTTCTCCCCCTGGGTGCCCAGCATGAGGCCTTATCTGGAGAACAGCCATTCTGCGATGTGAGAATGAGTTTCTCATCTCTGAGCATGTTTGAAGAATTTATTATGGAAGAAATAAGAAAAAAAACAACATTTCACTGTTTAAAATATCTTTAATGGTTCAGTTGGTATAGGATTTGGAAGCATTAAGTCAAGACATGGTCAGCAGCCATACAAAACAAAACAAACTAATCAATGTCAACTGAGAGGAAAATAAAATACAAAGGCAACAAAAAAAAAAAAAAAAAAAAGAGGGACAAGTAGGCAACATCAGGTCATCACAGTAAAAAGATACATCGATCCTAGTCAAACTCAACAGCATGCTGAAAATCAAAAACTGGTAGCAAGTTCAATGATGATCACACACTCTCTCTCGCACACAGACATTCATCCACAACTTGAACGAAGGCTGTAGAACAACCCTGATAGGTAAAATGTACAGTAAGACGCCTTTTAGAGGAAACAAAAAACCAATGCATAGACAAATAAAGAATGTTTTAAAACAAAAGTAAACATAAAAAGACAAATTTCTTTGTCATAGGCGGACAGCGTGACAGATCTGTTGGCAGTTTACATTGCGATGATTGCGGAGGACATTCAAATAGAAGTTATTGCCAACAAGATACAATGGATAATACTTTACCCATTAAAAAAAATAATTTTTTTTTCTTTTTTTCTGAAACATTTTAAAAGAGCTAGTAGCTTCCACAAACGTCAAGAATGTACAAACAATGGTCACAGTGGCGAGGCTTCAAAGACCCTCCACTTGAATGAACATTATAAACCACGAGGCAGACATGCTTGGCTTTAAAACATTACGTTACAATTATTTTAAGTTATACAAGTTAACAAACTGTACTTAAAACACATTAAATATTGAGCATGTCACTAGAAAAACATGTCGGTTGTTAACAAATATTCATTTGAGCTATTCCAGTTGAGTCAATTAACACAGAGAAGGTTTTTTTTTTTTTTTTTTAAATCACTGAAGGAATAAAAACATGGTTACAAAGTTTTCTTTTATCGATTGAAACAAACATAGAATCTCTGTGCTAAATATCAAAATGTATATTTTGCAAATATCCCACTGATAATAGTGCAAGAGATACAGTACAGTCAGAAATAGCACACAGTTCTTATGTTTGGCTTCATGTGTTTAGTTACAGGTAGTTAAAAATTAGAGTTTGTGTGTATTTTAGTGTGAATAAAGAGCCACTGCTGATGACATTAAAGAGCGACTCGTGTTAGGATTTCACTATCTACTGGTTCTCCATCTTTATTGATGCGTTGGAGGAACTGGGAGTCAATCAGTAAACAATAAATTACAACTACAGCTTGTCTCTTATCAATTTTTCTTAATCATTATGTTAATTTTATCTTACAGATAAAAAAACAACAAAAAATACAATTGGCACAATCAATTCATTATTGTATTTTCCCAACTATCTGTACAATAAAAAAATGTTTTACATGTCACAATAACCCAAAACCAGTATTTGTTTGGGGAGAATGTGTACACCTGTGTTTGATGTGATTATATCTGCTAGTGTCTTTAATTCTTATGCTTTCCTCATGAGAAAAGCATTGTTGCACTCTCAACAGCCTATGGTTTTTAAAATAAAGCAGCAGAAGAACAAGTGGGGCCTCATCTATAAAACTGTGAATAGATCGGACATGAGAAAGAAAAACTGCGCGCGCTCACCTTAAAATAGTTTTCCACTTATAAATCACACCGATCACGCCACCAGTTTCGCCGTCCTGCCCTGTTGACTCCCGTAATTAAGTGTGAAGGATTAATGACAGGCTTGCTGTGAGTGTTAATATGCACAATCAATCAGCATGTCATTGGAGTATTTGTACATGTGAACTAAAAAGATAATTCACAAAGAGAATGCTACAAAATGTTGCAGATCTTGAGTCAGGTAGACTTAGCTCTTTGTTTTTGTTCGTACTTCTGGTTTGACTGATGACAGACAATCAGCAAGTCACAGCAGCAGCGAGCACTGTATGATCAGGAAGCCGAATGATTCTAACATGAAAATAGCTAGCTGTGGTGTAGCTGCATATTGGTAAAAAGGTCAGAGGTCACTTCACTACACATGACTGCGTCTGGGTTCTACAACTGACCTCCTGCTACAAGAAGGAGAAAAAGAGGCCAGAATTTGATATAAAAAGGTAAATTGTGTGAGAAGAATTATTAACACATGATGCTTTATTTTACTACTTTGCCTGCGTGGGAGATGGTGTGCGGATCTTTCACACCTCTTTTAATACACACAGAATGTTTATAAATGAGGCCCCCTGGTGTGACAGAATACAAAAGCCTTTATAACACAACAGCTAAATCAGAAACAATTTCAGCCCCATTAGGGTAAGCAGAAATAATTAAAATCTCTCCCCTAACATGATCAATCATCACACTCGCTGCTTGACCAAAACTATATTTCTCTTTGCTCCAATCAGCTGTGGACTGGTCAATCCCTCCAGTGACCACAGCAGATATAACACGTAACACTGCCTAAAGTCTCAACACAGACAAAATAATACAAAACCAACCCACCCACCGAAAAAAAAAAAAACAATCAAAAAGAGAAAAAAAAACTACATTTGATATTCATCCACACAATCTGTGAGTGTTTTCACTGACTGCCTTGTTGCCAAGGCTTCAACCCACAGTGAAGCACTTGAGTGCATCTCAGGTAATGGTGTGCCAGCTTGTATGAGGAGGAGTCCGGGGTGGAAAAGGCTGGGGGAGAGCGAGGCAGCCACCTCCTGGTGTCTCTTCCCCTCCTCTTCTGTCCCTCCCAGGTGCCCCTCCTCTCCTGAGCTCATCAGTGTCGCGTTTGTGGAGTTTGGGTTGTTGTGGATCACGTGCGGGGCGGGGGCGAGGGTGGGGAGGGATGAAGAGAAGCGGAATGAGGCGGGGGCCCAGGGTCACTGGCGCCGATCCTCCGTCTCTGACCGTGAGAACGCCATCACCACGTCCTCTGCACCTGAGAACCAACGGCAGAATGTCACCAAAGTCCTTCAAAGAAGTAAACGCTTTATTTAACACAAGGAGTTTTTAACTGGTTATGAAACAGCCTACATTTAATACTGATGCCTCTATATGATTGAAGAGTGAATCAAAAGAGGGGAAATCAAGACATAATGTAGAAGTCAATTTAAAAAGTGACTTTTATTCCAGTTGATTCACTAATTGTGTCTGCTGAATTCATTAGTTTGAGGTTTTGACAGATGATGTGCCTAGTACAGAACAATTATATTCACTTTTATGATTGGAAATGTCTCATCCGTTTGCTTTACATCGATACTAGGTGTGACCTGTAATGGGCAGTTTCTGTCTAAATGTAAGAGTACTGAGTGACTCATACACACAAAATAGATGCAATAGTTGCAATAATGAACTGAGATCAGATTTTGCTTTTCTGATCACATTTGTATTCTGTGGTACAACTGCTATACACAAAAAAATACACATTTGGTCTTTATCATGTATGGCAGGGCCCACGGGATGGCCCCTGATAAAGTATTACAGTATTTATTGAACTGCTAGCCAAACATTTCCTGCTGCTGTAGCTTTACATTAAACATTTAACTGGCGAAACACAAGTTGACTGTTGAAATGAAAAATGAAAAAAAGCCAATTGATGCTCGACATCTTTAAAACGACAATAGTTTGTTTTGATGCCCGCAGGATTATGTGAGCTGTAGCATTAAACCGTCTGAATGTTCTCTGAATGACTGGATCCTGGTAAGTCTTCAACATGTTTTGCTATAAACAAATATTAGTGCAAAGTACAAAGCGAGCTGAGTTTTCTTTAGGTCCTTGGATCCTGTCAGTATCCTGTAAATCCTGTCAGCTGTGACTATAAAGCCCAGAGGGGATACGCCACCATGAAAATCCTTTTGGTACATTCAGGTAATTTCATCTATCGCCATGTTCACCTGTTGTGGCGAGCCACCAGCTGCCATCACAGTACCCTAACGGGGGACGCCGTGACACACGGAGTGGCCCGCTGACGCCAGCATCCTGGTCTGCCATGATAACACTTATTTCTGAGCCTTCAATACAATTCAAACTCCACTGCTGCTGCAGCTCAGGCTGCGAGGCACAAGATCGTCTGTGAGTAAACAATACTACATTACAGCTGGTGATATTAACCTCAGTAAGCTGTGGGAAAAAAATCAATACGCCCAGAGAAAAGAGAAATGAAATGATCTACAGTACAGAAGGTCTGATTTATTTGTACTCTTTTTGTGCTTCTTTCACTTTTACCAAGTTAATGAGAACCAACCGATAATTACAGTCTCATCTGGGTTGAGTCAACTAATGGATCCTGCCGGCTACACAATAGGACTTTGTCAGCTGGCTGTTGTTTAACAAGGAATCATTCATTAGTCTGTTGCCAACTGTGATTCATTAAGTCATTTGGGCCTGCCAACACCTGCTGAGACAGTTTTTCTCTGATAAATGAACATACATTTTCCAATTCTATTTGAGTGAGATTTAAAAAAAATAAATACACAATGCTCTTTCAGCACCTCATATATTCAACGGTTCTTCTATATAGGCATCATTTTCTGGCAAGAACTTGTTTTAATTTGAGCAATTCAGCCTGTAGTCCATCCGAAATAGAGAGAGAGAGCTAATGTGCTTTTGCCAGATGAAGTGGGACAGTATTAAAATCCCTCTTGCACTGTTATGCTTGGCAGCCTGGTGAAATGCATTTGCTTCTTGGTAATGGAGGTAAATTGGAGGTAAATTGGAGGTATATTGATTGTAAAATATGTGAGACCACAAGGTACAAGTGCCCTCAAAGCCTAAATTAAAAACATCTCTTAAAGAAAAGAGGGGCAAAGAACAACTTTGCACCACAGCGTACAGTAAGCATGATCATGTACTGAAATAAAAACATCTGACAAGCCATGATCACATAAATATCATTAACACCATGTTCCACACCTTTGAAAAGGGCTGAGAAGAATTCCTAACAGCACCTTGTGCGTGTCTGCTATAAAAAAAACAACCTGTCTTTACCACAGCCCTCAAGTGCTCGTTAGATTTAATTATTGTGGAGATATGAAAGTAGGCCAGGGACTCAGAGAAAGCTTCTGCATGTATTTGGCACAAAAGGCGGACCCTGCTCATCAGACAGCACAGACCCACCAAACACAGAATTTTGTGTTTCATTTGGCTATCTCTGCGGGGAAGATAATTAGCATGTTTCTATTCAGGTCGCTGTGAGCTTGGTAAGATTGAGACTTTTGGGGGGAGGGCGCCTTTTAATATAAACTTTCAAGTTCCTCCTCCCATGGGAGCTTATTGGCTTACTAAATGAGGTTATGGCAAAGAGGAAGCCGATAGGCAAAAGCAGCACCAGGAGAGGAAACTAGAGACAAAGTGATAAAAAAAAGAAATATTGGCAGAGACATGCTGTTCGACTTCAGTTAATAACATAAATCTCATCAGCTTTGAGACAGCACGTACAGATAATGATGCTCGAACAAGAGACAATTATGTAATACCACACAATAGGGAACGCGACCTGAACTACACTAATGCTGAATAGCACTGCTGTTCAAGATGATGTTTTTGGCGCAGGAACTTGGAATAACACCCATTTATCACAATAAATGCCAGATTGATCATTCTGTGGTTGTGTGAAGGAGTTCACCCTTGTGTAACGGGCAGTTCAGAGGAAGGACATGTCAGACACTGTGCAACTTGAGCTTAATGACCAGCAGAAATGCTCTCAAAATACATCCACAGAGCCAAGTGGATGGTTGGGCTATATCTGTTTGACTTGAGCACTTTGCCTGAGAGTCATGTTTGGACCCCCCCCGCCCCAATGCCGCACACGCACGCGCACACGCACGCGCACACGCACGTGCACACACACGCACACTCTCTCTCTCTCTAGCCAACATGATTTGAAACGTCGGGTCCCTAAAAGCTGTTGCCTAGCGACAGATAAAAATCAGACTGCTTCAGTGGACGGCAGGCTGCTTCTGCTGCTGCCTACGAGCAAAGATCTTTTAGGCTGTTTGGATGTAGTTCTGGCTCCTCCCTCTACCGTGCACTGATCCCCTCCTCACCCTGCCTGATGGGGGTAAACAAACCGACTCCGGACCGAGGATTACATAAATAACTGCAACGACAGGCATGTCATCCGATTTGTCCTCCATAAATACTTTCAAACGAAGAAACCCCCCCCATAACCAGTGTTTATGAAAAGAAATCAGAAAGAAACAGACAAAAAAGAAACAACAATTATTCTGAAAGAGTACTGGCACTTCAGATGTTTGTATACACAAATACAATACACTTTTATCACGTACCACCACCTCTGGTGAGCTTGGACGTACCCACCACGAAGGTCACTGGACCTCAGTGTTTTCAAAGGAGTATACAATAAAAGTTGTGAAATAATTGACTTTGATGCTTCATCTATATATAATTCACAAGTGAAGTCTTTCTGTACACTTCTGAGGGACTATAAATCAATATGTGGTTGAGAAAAGGTAGCCTGAGATTAAGAAAAAATACAACATTCCTCTGAAACCTCTGAGGATAAGAGAGCTGTGAAATTAACCCAAAGGGAGTTTGTTTGAAGTTAAAGGCACCATGCTGCATCCCTCGCCTCCCTTCAGTCTGAATAAACAGAGAAGCAGCCATATGATGACTCCAGAATTGCAGCGATAATAGTAATAACTTTATTTGTATAGCACCTTTTAAACAAACATGGAGCTCAAAGTCCTTTAAAACCAAGAAATTACATGCACCAAGCGCTTCACGTGAAACAGAATGAACATAAAAATGAAAAAATAATAATAATAAAGTGATGAAGGGAGTTATTAGTCAGAGCAGCAACAGCCTTTGAGGTCACAATCTGTGCGGGGTCAGCTGAGAGGATAAAGACATGGGACCCCCCCCCTCCATGAAAACGACAGCAGGGATGGGTTAAGAAGCACGACACACAACAGGGGGAGTGTGTGTGGTCCAGCTCAACATGTTGAAGTCAACAAACACACTGGGTCACCTTTTACATGGTGCATTGTCATCTGATGTAAGTCACATAACTGCATACTTCTGTAAAGTATAAAGTCCCATCATTTATCTTGGTCTTTAGGTTTTGAAAGTTTATTTATCTTTTTCCATCACCTTTTCTCTCCGATTTGATTGTTCTGGGTTAAGGTTAAAAATGAAAAGAATCAAGGAATTGAAGTCAATTTGTCTGTTCTGAGTTGCAGCGTGTTTGTCTTAATATTTCAAATGATAAGAGTCTTCAAAAAAGATGGCAATGTTGGCGTTTTCAGTTCTGCGTTATGTAGATTTTCAAGTGAAAATTCAAACCTAAAAAAAAAATCTAATTAACTAGATAACATATGCAAATGAACGATTACACGGAGAGCGTCCGATTTGTGCAACAGTTTGTTCTTCACTTCACACGGTGATATTTCAGATTTCAGAGATTTAATGAGCTCTGAAATTAGGTTTAAGCAGCAGCAAACAGTTTTCTCATTCATTTTTCTCTTCTAAATGGATCCTTTAAAGATGGATTTAATTAATGTGACATTTTATAGGCCACATCCAGAGTGTAAATTAGATTAGGCAGCAGATTTTCGTGATGCAGAACCAGAACTCAAAATCAGTGTTGTCTAAACTTTTGGTTTCTGTTGCTCATGGAGCAGATATTATTACAGAGAAAATTGGCAGATTCAACACATCCAGGTTGGACATTATCCATTTGTCTAAAGAGTACAACCACATACCTGTTGACAGATTTGTGATAGAGATGAGACCATATTTAAGGAAGCCTCTGTGCTTCAGTGAGTTGAGTTAGCTAGACTTCCTAAATCTGAGTCTCTGGCTCTGATTCATGCTGCAGTGAGGAACAGGATAGGGTAAGAATCAATAGCACTCTGCCACTGGCCGAGTTGCCAGACAAAGGCGGGTTCTTGCTCTGTGTCACATAGCTTTTACTCTAAAAGGCAGGTTTAAGCATTGCGTTATCCCGAGATGGTAACACAGACAAATAAAAACAAGAAAGTGTATTGACTGCACAAGGCTGTAGTAATATCTGAAACAAGAGAGGCTATATTTCTGTAAGAAGGGATGGGACTGACAGAGAGAGATTGGAATACCACACACTGTGTAATTAGCACTCCAGGTTGCCTCCAGGCCCCCTAATGACACCTGCTCCAATCTACCAATGCAGCATGTCGCAGCAACACCAAAGCCCACAGGGAAGCTTAGCTTTCCTGGGACAACTGCGGTTGCTATAGCAACGCCTGCTCGTCTATCTTCTTTTGTTGAAGCCCTCAGACGTCCTTCTGAGAGGAGTAAACTCTCCTCGTCAAATCAGACAGGATAACAAGTCCCTAAGATTGCTGGCTTTATGTGTGACTCTGACAAATAGTATTGTTTAAAGTGACATGATGTCAGTTATAGAAAGACGTGAATAAGAGAGTTAAAGGGGGAAGAACAACAGCCAAAAACAAAACTTCTGTACTCCACATATAATGCTGTAACTACTTTGCTGCAGAAACTCCACACCACAGAGAGAGAGTTATTATTCAGCACTGAAACAAAGCCCCAAGAAACAGGCTTCTCTTAATGAGTCCACACTTTGTTTCTAATCATAACAACATTCAAACACAGCATGCAAAGTCCTGTCTGTCCACTATCTTCCATTCCTCTGAGCAGCCAAAATTCAAACACACCAAGGTATTCACAGTGAGAAAAAAAAAAATACATACATATATATATATATATTTTTTTTTTTCTTAGCTCCAGAGCCTTTGGCAGAGAATTCCTGATTGCGTGATTAAAATTGCAAAACAAAACTCTGTATTTGCATGTATGGTAATCAGCCAATTAAAACTATCTGAAATGCAAATTTAGTGACCCATAGACTTAAAAAGAAATAAGAGTGGCACCCCCCTCCCATGTTGGTTTTCTCTTGTTTCTTACGAGGACGGACCAGATTTGGGGAACAATTTAGGGTTTCCTATCAGTCCGATCAGTTGTGATGAATGATGACAACAGTGCTGGATAGATTCGTCTGCAACACCTACAAATTTGTTTCCTTATCCGAATATGCTGAACTGACAACAGCAATGATGTTATCCATTCCTCACATTAGATTCTGTGTGCTCTCTATTTAACATTTCCTGAATACAGCCGCGGCTTTGACTTATAGTAATCAATATCTGAGTGTGTCTCCAGTACGCCAACGTGCCCTCGGCGCCCTCTAAGCGTGCCGCCACAGGATCGATGAGGCCATGTCTGACACGTGACACTATCGCGTCCCCTTGAGACCCCTTGAGGACGCTGGTATCAGAGGATCCTGTATCAGCATGTTCACTCTGTCCTCTGTTTCAAACCACTGTGGCTGGAGAGAGGCTAAAAATCTCTTAGGTTGGAGCCATCTGACCCCCAATGGTGCTAACAGCCTAAATGCTTTTCCTATTCAACAATATTGTGTAAGGAGTCACAAAGTATTCTATAAACCTTTGAAGTAGCAGACTAATTTGTATTACTTGACAAGCTGAAAGGGGTGAGTCATCCACTCTAAATTATTACTTTTCAAAACTAGCTGACCAGCAACGATAGAAACCTGCATACTTTTTTATTACAGCTGTTACCAAAGAAATACTACACTACTTCCATCACAAGCTTGTGGAGAGGGGATGCTGGAGAAAACAGCTCAATCAAATGGTACCAAAAAGAAAGGTGGATTTAAAGTTTTTAGACATCAAAACCTATTTAAACTTAAAATAGCTTAGCTATATAATCTGTACAGAAATAATAATATTAACTGACTACAACTACAACCTCAGTGTTTGCTGGAGAGGTCGAACAAACAAACAAAAAAAAAGCAAACAGGAACATTAATGATAAAAGATCAGACACAGACAAACATCCTTTGCCTGGAAAACTGCTGGCTAATAGAAGAAGTCTGTCTGGCACAGAGAGTATAACCTGATTTATCTCCACAACCATGTTAAGTACAATTAACACATTGAAATTTAATCCACTGAAGTGTCTTTTTCACAAAACGTATTCACACAATTATCTACATTTTATTTATTTATTTTTAACACGAATCAAATAAAATCTTACTTTGTAATATTTCCCACAGGAAATTTGTTGTTTGAAGTCCCTGCTCCTGTTAAATTACTTTTTTTGAGGCACAATGACCATGCAAGTTGCTAGGTAATAAAAGGTTTCCTTTCATCTACCCCCCCTTACCAAGTCTAAATGAGATCAAATAGTGGACTTCCCTCTTCATGTAACTGAACCTCCTCACCACCTCAAAAGGATCCCGAATGTGCTGATACCTACGAACTGCTGTCCTTCAGCGCAGCGTTTAAACGTGATTAACTCTCAGCTATCTCCACGGTGCCTAATCACGGTACTTTACATAAGATGCAGACCACAAATTATTTATTGGCACACCAAGGAGGTGGCAGGCTGCCAAACAGCACTAAATGTGTCTGATGTATAATGCATACTCAGAGAACCTTTCGCCAGTCATATTCGCCCATAATTAATGAGGCTCTTCTTAGCAGTATTGACACAGCACAGACATTGAGTCCTGTATCGACTAAAGGGCATGAAGAAAGAGAAAGAGAAAGAGGGTATGCTGCACAAACAGCAGCTAGTCTGTAGTTGTTTAATCAGACAGAAAACATCTCTCATATGACTTAAAATCAGTGCTGCTGTCTCTTTTGGTGCTGAACTCTTTAAGATCTGACACTATCCTTCTTATCTGATGCAATGCTTTATGTTCTGCAGCTTGATAAAGAAAAACATTGTAATTACGCAATCTAGACTGCCTGTGATGCAATGACACACATATTTCAATGACGCATCCTATGTTGCAGAATGAGGCAGAATCTATGACAGTTTAATAACCTCGAGGTAAAAACAAGGATAATAAAGAACACCAGAAGGACAAAAAGTCATTGCGCCTTTTACTTGCCTCCTTAATACCCTGTATAATCATAAACCTAATCCTTGTCCAACACAGAATATCACAGATTCATCAATTCAAACAACACTGATTGGAAGGAGGAAGGACAAACAAGGAGACATAACACATAACACAGGTAAAGTGTTGCAGGCAGTTTTCCCTGATTAAAAGCTCCCCTGAGGGACCAATATCATAAGGGACACAGCAGCGCCTGGGCCCCTGCAGGTTTACCACAGGAGGACAGCAGGGGTCCTATCTGACAGCCGTGTTTGGACCAAGCCTGGTAAGCTGCTGATAAGTCTACTTACCGAAAAATCATTTGGAACAATTTGCTGCTGCTTTCCCAAGTATCTGCAGCTATTCATACTAAATTTTGTTTAATCTAGCACCCTCTTGTGGTTTAAAAATGTGAAACCTGTGGAGGAGCTACAGAAAGCTCAACAGCACCCTCTGGTGGCCTGAAAAAGCATGACCTTCATATATAAGATCATATTACTAAGCAGACCAAGTCTTACAACAACACACGAGCAGTGTTTTGCTTTATCATATAAACACATCAATTTGTGAACTCAGGACTCCATCTAGGCCACTTGTGAGAAGCAGCAGTGAAACTAGCGATGTACTCGCGCTGAGGATGACTCACTCGTTTCCAGTCAGCCACACTGTTTGCTGTGTGAGTAAGCTCACGGTGCTGGCGGGCCGCTGAGTCGGCCTCAGTGCACAGTCAGGGACTCCGTTAGGCGTGCTGGTGTAAGGACTCAAGAGGAGTGATGAATGTGGGTTTGGAGGGATTTTCCCTTGTTTTCAGTCTGGGCAAAGTAGCACTTCTGTGACATGTGAAGTTGGGGTTTGAGAGTGTGAATGTGTTTCGTATTAACCAACTGCCATAAACGCCTTCCATCCTCACACCTTCAAAACTCAAAAACAAATATTAAAACTGTATAAACTTCCAACTATTGACCTGCCTAGAAAAGGTAACAAACTAACACTTGTTTGTTTTGAATAAAAACAAAAGAAAGATTCCAACTATAATAACACTGCCTGGATGACTGCGCTTTAACTGTGTGTGTGTGTGTGTGTGTGTGTGTGTGTGTGTGCGCGCGTCATAGCCTTACCCTGGTCTATGTTGTGCTGCGGTAGCTGGCTCATCTGACTGTGGACCACACCTGCGTAATTCCGGAGAAAAGCCTCTTCACTCGGTGTAAGCTGAAGAGGAGTAGAAGAGGTGACATTTTACATTTAAACAAGTACAAACAAAACATTTTAACTTCAGTATTCAAAATAGATCAAATTTCAATCCAAAGAATTCTCCCAGGCAGTGAGGCATGTGACATTGTGGACTGGAAATAATCTGCATTTTAAATGAATGTTTGTGTTTTGATACACATCTCTCTCTTCAATGATTTTAGTACTGTAAATGTACTTCTACTGCAGTGTCTGCAGTCACAAGGTCGATCTTTCTGTCACTGAAAGTAGAACATTTTCTAATACTGTCTCCTTGTGACAAGTGTTTTATTAACCATTTATTTGTTGACTTGAAATCTAGACCTGATTGTATTAAAATATAATTTATAGCAACAAATATACCAAAAGAATACTTTTGTTAAGAATGGATTCACATCTGACCTAGATGTCACAGACAACTGGATTATTTCACTCACATTAGGTGATCGTGATGGCAGCTTTTAGCCATGTAATGGAAAACTGTACTCACAGAATCAGACGTTATTCTAATTGAGAGATGTTTTGCCTATGATTTATCATACAACACTTAGGTAACAGTATCTAAATTACTGGAGCCTATGTCAACACATCCTCAGCACTTACATCATAAAAGTTACACGTATGATAAGGCAGATCAGGCACTGATGCCACATTTCAGGGTTCTCATTTTAGCCAGCAACTGTAGATTTTTCTGCCTGAAATAACAACCATCAAAAACTAATTTATTTAACATTATTTCTGCCCAAACCACAAAATGAAACAACTTATCTGATTTGTGTGAGTTCTTCTGATGTTAAAAAATTATAAAGGCTGTCTTTCTAATTTTTAGTTTCTCGTCCACACTAGTTTAAAAATAAAGACCCCGTTATCTTTCAGAAAGGTTTGAAGGAGGACAGGTTTCCATAATATACCCGTCTCTGTAAAATTGTTATCATTTAGATTGCTAACGGGCTTATTTTCTCCAGAGGCTGCAAATTAGCTCATCTCTGCTCAATTCCTCCAAGCTGTCAACAGGCATTTAGAGTAGAATTTCCTACCTAAATTCTTGTCACTACCTGGGCTGAGCAGAAGACACATCTGTGGAGATGCCATCGGCTCTGCCTGACTCACATACAAAATCTGGTGGATATATTTGCTGAGTAATGTTAGATTTGACATGTGTGTATCCCCTCTAGAAACTACAAAAATGTCAGATTCCAGGCTATCCAGTGACCATTCATTTTCATTTAATTTTGCCATGGCAATGATGATATCCGACCTTGATGGCCACTTAGCATGGTCACATAGTGGCATATTTCAGGGTGAAATCATAAAGATATGTGTGAAGACACTGTACTTACATTTGATCCCATTTTCTTTAGCATGAGCAGGACCCGCACTTTCTGTTGGATGTACATGTCTTCAGGAGACTTCCCCGGGGCCTCCTCGCGGTTCATCCCCCCTGCTCCTGTGGCTCTGGACACAAATAAATCCATGTTACACAAGACCTGTGAAAAATCACAGCTACACAAACACTAACAGTGTTATTAGAAGTTAAAAATACGTATACACTGGGTTGTTTCAGCTACACAATCTGACTGGTCACAAGTTGTTAAGAGTTCTGGACTGAATACAACTTCGATAAAACCTTCAAAACATTCATAACCAGTACTCTTGGCAGTGTTCAACAGATGCAGGGCCCAACAATAAGGACTGCCCACTTACCCAAGTAAAATGCCACTTTGGGCGCAACTCACTTGTCCAATTTGGCAAGTGGTAAAAGACAATTAAACACATTTTATTGTCGAAAGCTAATGATGGAAGTACCTAAGGAACGAGCCCTCTCACTTCCTTCTCATCTTTATTTAGAGCTGCACATGTGCAATACCAGTTGGGCACTCGCAAGAAAGTAGTGTCAGATAAGTTTATGAGCTGCAACGCAAGCCAGCATTTCAATTACCATGTAAACAGGAGTTTATTTGGGTGGCGTTTGAGAATGTGGCCAAAACTCCAAATATGATGTTGTAATTTGAGAGCAAGGCGGATCTTTTTTTCCAAAGGCACATCGACTTTCCATCAAACGTTTGTTGTAATTTCATAACCGCTAACTGGACAGCTCTTCACTCTTTTATTTAAATAACGATCATATTGTATATATATTCTCTATCTCTTCTTTATTTATATTTATGTTTACTGTTATGCACCAATATACCAAGGCAAATTCATTGTATGTGAAAACCTACTTGGCAATATAACAGATTCTGATTCTAATAAATAAAACAATTTGTACAAGTGCAAGTAAAAATTGACTTTGAGCAAGTACATGTCTGACCCACTGGCCCGGGAAAGCTATAAAACAAACAAAAAAACATTCATACTGAACCCTGTAGGAGGTTCAGGCTTATATAGCTAGCAGCACTGAGCCAACACAGGCTGGATTATTACGATAAACATAACTATTTAAATATAAATATAACATTTAAGACTGACTCCATTTCAATTATCAAATGTCCAGTCTGTGTGATAAGCATTCATATGATCCAAACAGTGGTGATGTTAGAAGTCAGTGGCCTTGTCTCAGTGTAGTCACAGTGCAGGTTTGGCATTTCACAGCGTGAATGGCTGTTATTAATATTGCATGGCAGTTTTCACACAGATCTCGCCCCTGCCTGCTCCTTCCATCTCTCATTCTCCATCTAACTAATGACCTATTTTCACTGTCAGTCTGCAGAGATGCAAAATATAGGCAAAGGGGGAGGGAAAAGAAGACGATAAAAGGAGCTGCCAAAGCTAATGCGGATGACAGAGAAGGGATAGGTTCCGCTGTGATAACACACACACACACATCAAGGTCGGCTGTTGTCGCATTAGATCTCTGCTATAACAAGACGAGGCATACAGCAAGGCTTGATATCCAGCATAAATTTGCTAATTGAAATAGCTAAACAAGCAGAAGAACTAATTCACAGAAAAGAGCAAAATTAATCTTTAAAAAGAATAAATCTGGTGAGAAAAAAAATAAGATTTAATGGAGAAAATATCAGTATGCAAGTCAGAATTTGTTCTCCCCTAAGAATCTTTCATAAAAAGCCTACGGGAGCCACAGTCACTATGATAGTTCTGGCAATTTATTTTGGCCTCTTATCTATACAAAGGACCACTAATGCATGTTGACAGGCCGTTTGATGTGGGGTTATATTTAATTGAGGAGCTGGCTCGCCGTCCCCCCTTCCCAGAGCCCAAGGGGTTGAAGATGAATGGGGGCACCGTTGGCCATTGGCTTGCGTTTGGGTGCCACTGTGAGCGTGTGGATTCATCCAGATCAGAGCAGCTGGAGACCACGCTTCTGGCTATAGTCCTTATAATTATAGCAACCTTTGGTGGCTGTTTACTGCAACCAACTAGCACTTGACTTTGCCTACTTGCCTGTTCTCAGCCACACGAAGTGGTAGCAGGACACCCAATACATTAGTTATTCACTTGCACCCGAGTGTCGGGCATAGTTTAACTGGAGAGACACTGAAGGCTCAAAGCAAGACAGACATGAAAAGATGGAGAGAGCTGGTTGGTGTCAGTTGCTCAGTACACCTTCAGGGTTGGTGGTGGTGTGTGAGTGTGTTTGGGTTGGGGTAGTGATGCAGAGAAGATGTTAGTGGAGGGTGGCAGCGTCTTCATATCAGCAGCAGTGACACGTTTGATCATGTCTCCTAGCTCCTCACTTAATGGAACAGCTAAGACTCCAGGCAGAGAGACCTACCAGCGAGACGATATAGAGAATGAATGATATAAACTCAGGAGCATCAGTCTGCCTGCCTGAAAATCTCACTGGGAATAAAACGGTCACTGGGCATGAGTGGATGAAGGCAATGGCTGACGAACAGAATTGTTGAAAAGGTGTGACGATACAACAAACATCCATTAATATTCAGGCATATTTTGAGACTTGACAACTTAACCATTTTCATGTCTTCTACAGCACAAAAGGCCAATATATTCCACATTCATCATCTGTATAAATAGGCCTACTTACTGCTTTCATGACTGAGGCATTTCTGATCCTCTGATGTTTGCTTTTGAAGTTTGAAAACTGGCCATATTTAGTACCATCTCTGACTGTTTTGAAGGTTGCAATTTGTATTTTTACCAGCTTGAAAAAAAAAACCCTATTTAATCTCATCCGACTTTCACAGCAATATCTGCCATAAGAAGAAGAACAAACGTTGTGCATGGAATCCTATAGGGACAATCTCTGTGGGAAGTAGAAACAAGGTGGAATTGTAAATGAGGGTGATGATGTTCTTCTATTGGGGTGACATGTTTGTGAGTCATTATCAAAAAGATAAAAAAAGATGTCAGATCCCATCCTTTTGTAGAATTCACCTATTCTTCTTCAGGCTGGAGGTCGGGCAGACAGGCTCATTTGTAGATGACTATTTTTGGAAGCAGAGTAGATGCAGAACTGGAATCATTACAATTCTGGTACTCAGTGAACTGGATGACAACATGTATACAACAGTGATTAACATTGTGCATATGATTATGTAACGGATACTTTCATCCATGCAATCCGGCCGAACTAGCTTTCCAACCATGTTCATAATTCCAACAATGCTCCAGATGGTACTCAGGGACCTGGCGTGCAATGCCTCACTGCCACGGACTTAACCTCTAAATAATGTCTTACACTGCTGGATTACAACATTTTAAACACGCTGGGTCACTGTAAAGTCAAGCTGAAGATAATTTTAAAGTCAAATATTACATAGTGAGGTGTATTATGAGGGACCTGTATGCTGAAAAACAAACCATATAAATGATGCAACTAACTATTTTTCATTATCAATTAATGTTGCTTGTTTTTTTAAATGAATCACTTCATAGTTCTATAAGTGAAATAATAAAAAAGGGAAATTGCAATATCCCACAGCTAAAGGTTAAAATAGCCTGTTTTGTTCAACAAATGGTCTAAAACTAAAAATATCCACTAACCATTGCAGCACATGACAAATTGCCATTTTGCCAAAGTGATTTAGTAAAAATAAACCTCCAAACATCTAACTTTCTATAACACTAACTGCAGACTGGCCAATAATTGAATTGAAAGAGATGGACTGACTTAAACTCCTCTGGAAAGACATAAAACACAAACTCTTCTATTTATAGAGTGCAATGTCTGAATTACATGTTTGCCACTTCAGTAAACAACCATCTAGACCGCTCCTTGACAGACCTAAGCTGCTTTTTGTGCAATATTTGCATGATCAGAAACCTCCACTAAATTTTTAATTAGACTGCTCAAACGAAAGAAAACATATATATATATTCTTATAAAATTATGCATGCATATGTGTATATGTATATACGATTTGTCCTGATTCCAGTGACAAACAGGAAAATTACAAACCTATAAATAATGTTTTGAATAGAACCAGTCTATGTTTAACCTACTGGGGTCATTCTAGCTTTATTCTGATATACACACTCTTCTGCGTAACATGTCTTACATCATTTCAAGGACCACAATACGGATCCTGTCAGGCTCCTTTGTGTGTGCTTGATGTTAGGTTCTAGAGGTGGGCTGGCTCAACACTAATCCCTCGAGGGATGCTCAGCCAGCCCCAGACGCATGCGGCTAATATTCCAGACGTAATCAAAGGCTTTCTTTAATGCTGATCTAGGCCCTAATCCCCCCCTCTCTGCCCATGTTGGGGTCTTGTCAGTGTTGTGATGTTGGCTTGAGCAGAGACATTGAGCTCTGTGAGTGCCTCTAGGCAGCCCAGCTAAACCACAGCATTGCTAACACTGAACTGAGAAATCCAAGAAACACAAAAAAAAAAAAATAAATAAACACCCAAGGACCAGCTTCGAACCTCCCATCTGTACACATGGTAGTGGTGGGACATAAAATTGATATGAAAATATAGCATTGTGATGCTAAGACTTAGGTGTGTAATTTTAACCGTTCTGCTTTCTAGCCGTTGAGCCTTGTGTCAGTTCATGGCATTTCACATTTAAATGATCAAATTCAAGTATATAGTGCTTAAAAATAAAACTTACACAGTACACTAAAAACGTGTACTGTGTTATGCAGTTCCAGTTGTGTATAAATCACAGTAGATTTAATTTCTGAAATACATGACTGATTTCTAACTTTCTTAAAATTATATAACAATTTGAGAGGCCCTTTATTAATCCTTTCATCATGATGTACCACAACTAATTGCATATTGGAGAATGTATTTTATTAATATGAGCAAGGTCTTTTATAAACTTCTTTTTAAAACATCTTATTGGTATCAGCTGCTAGAAGCAGGTAATTATCGTTTTTTGTTACGACTGAAAAATTATCCATATTCTGCATCCCTAATATTTGCTGCTATTGCTGTAGTAGGTTGAAATATGGTTGCAATCAATATCACAATATTACTGGAAATGGTTTTTTTTGTCAGATATAGCTTGTGAAGATAAATGTATGCAAACTCAAAGGGAAAAAAAGATGTTCAATGCAATAAACTGTGTTCCACTGGTTGAATTAATTAAACAATAATCATTCAACTTAAAACATGTAAAACAAAACATGTAAGAGTTTCTGCTATACTATTATAAGCAGTTTAACAGAGAAAAGAAACAAAATTCTCTTTGATAAATTTGGGGCACTGATGATCAAAATTTGCACCCTTTACAAAAGGAGAAGTATACAATCCGTATTGTGATTTAGACAACTGCTGCGACCTCCGTGTTTACTACAAGTACTGCAACATGTCATACAGCTACTGCAAATGACGACAAATGGCACATTCAGTAATGCTACTTAAAAAAAGAAAACATGCCTATTCATTGCATGGCCTCTGCATTCCAGATTTCTTGTGTGAAATTGGGGCTTCATGCTTATGGCCAAAATGATAATCACAATTATTTTGATCAATACTGAGATCACAAACATTTCACAATTACAGAGCTCTGCACTGCCGCCCCAAAACAAAAACATGGAGAAGACTTCTCAACACTGTGACCAGGCCACACAGAGCAGCGAGGCTGCCAGTGATTACAGTATGCAATGTGATAGGCCCTCACATTTGCTGAGGGTCAAGAAGGGCAGCGGCTGCCACAGTGCAACAGCCCAGTCAAACATGGCCCGGTCCACTTGTCGAGCTTGTTACTGACTCAAGAATAAGCAGCTGAATGTTGTCCGTTTTAGCTATCGAATTCCTTAAGCGAGCAGAAAAACAAGAAACAGGCCTCTGCGTTGACTGACAGATTGTTTCTGAGTGGAGTTTAGCTTTACACGAATGCCGCTAACAGCCGGCGCTCCATAAGACCCGAGAGGTCAACAGCCTCTACCGACGGGAAAAACTGAGAAGGAAAAATAACTTGAATTCAATCATGAGCTGCTCCAACATCCCAAGCAAATCTGTGAGAAACTTAAGTAGGCTAGAAGCCTGGTGGGGCTGCCAGCTGAGCTGCCAACAACCTGGCCTGGTTCTGTACAGCAGCTGTGTCACTGCAGGTACGCACACGCACTCACTCCGCTATGGATGGCTGACCACGCCACGCAACCTAATAAAACAACTAGTGGTCACACTGAAATTAGAGCTGAACAATATTCTCCCAAAAAAATAAATCTTTCAAATAATCATCCGTCTTTGCTCTTTATATCTCAGCCTTTCTTACCATCAGGTGTGCATGAACTACAGGTTATAAACCTCTTTTTAAAATACACTAGAAAACAGTGAAAAGTGCCCCACGTGATCCCAGAGCCCAAATACAAAATTTACATGACGTCAGTTCCATTGCCCAAGAAAACACAGCTTCTACCAATCCAAACCTGCAGGAAACATTACTAAAACCGCACACCCAGCAGACTGACTCCCTGTGGGTTGGGGCAGCATGGGGTCCTGACACAGCGTGAGCCAGACGAGCAGACATTGCAGGCCAGAAAGGCTCTGGCTTGGACTTACTGGATGTGCGTACTGCCTTTGTGTGAAGCCATCTCCTCACATGTACAGTGCCCACAACAATGGCTACAGTATTTGGGGACAATGGTGATGAACTGGATTGTGAAAACATGATTGATAAGTAGGTCATGTCTTGTTGTCACCACGTGAGGCATGAACTCAGACAATCCTTCTCAACTGTACAAGCTTAGTTCATAGCTAGGTTTCTGGGTGTGTTTAACTGTCCTTTGACTATTTCTGTGCCACATGAAGTTGATACAAGGACCTGAAGAGAGTGGGTTACAGTAGGCAGGACATGACATTTCAGAAATTTAGACTTCATGGCATTGGGATAAACAAGCTTTTCCTAGATAGCAAAAAACCATTTCCCATTATTGAGGCTTCTACAAGGCTACAAATAAAAACTTAAAACCTTTTAATACGACTACAGTTCAATTGGGACCTTGTATGAACATTTTACACTTTACAATATGATTCAGGAAACCTGATTTAAACAATTTTTCCACAATACCAAATTTGATACAACAGAGTATTTCACAAACCACGGTATAGAACATAATTAAATCTGATCTATGATCTCAGTACATCTTCGCTCACTACTCAGGGTCCCTCAAAGGAATTGAAACAGAAGCTGCTGCCTTAAGCTGGTCCCTCGGGGGTGCGGCTGCAAGATTTCAAAAGCGCCAACGTCAAGGCAGAGCATAAAATTCTGAAAGTTATATGATCTAAGAGCTTAGAACAATATAATGCAATGCAAATGTGCAGAATACAATGCACAACAGACAAAAAAATCTACGGACATAAAAGATGGCTGTGCTTTCAAGTCTGATTCTTTAAAACGGTTAAAAAGACATGGTGGTCGTCCAGAGGCCTCTGTCATTTGGGCTGGGTGTGTTAAGCCACGAATGGATGCAAGCAGCTCTAGTATCATAGTGTCAGGCCACAACAGGCTACTACGTGGTCTGGTTAATGCAGACAGGCTGACGAATTCTTGTGCCAAACACAGAGCAAGAGGTTGTGAGATGAACCAGCCCACACCCCCAAAACTGTGCTCGCAGGCAGCTGATGAGATCCCCTTGGGGCTCAAGGGGGTTAAGCAGGCAATGAAGAGCACCTGCCCTGAGTGTAAGGGCGGTGAGGAGGGAGGCGAGGCCAGGGGTCCTAATTTCTTTCCAAAATCCATCCAGCTAGGGGAATGTGCAAACTAAGGCAAGCTTGACATACTGTGGTCCACGACCAACTCCGCTTGTTGCCAGGAGGATTCAGAGCACTTGCCTGTGGCCAAGTCCTGATACCCACTAGCTGCAGCACTCATCAATGCCCCGCTGCCGGCAGGGTGCCAACTTCACCACTCAGAGGGGCTGTCAGCTATCTGACATGTGGGGGAAAGCAGACACTGTAAAAGGCAGGGTGGCACAATGCATCCATGGGTGGCATGATCCAAAAATAGAAAGCAAAGGAAGGAGTTATGTAAAAAAAAAAAAAAACCTGATCATGAAAACCAATTTGGAAGAAAGTGTCCAGATGGTACAGTAGCTTTAGTGGTTGGGGCAGCTTTTTAAATGATCTCTGAGCACAGGGCTGACTGGTGGGAGTTTGGTGAGTGGGACCAATCAGTCTGTAAGTTGTATTTATTACATGTTGGCTTGCATCGTGTACATATAGTCGGCTAAAGGTCTTGTCAGAAAGAGAAAACTGGCTTTATGTAGTTATTGAAGACACAGATAAGTTCAATATTGTTAACATCACAATCATTGGTACAAGTAAAACCAAACTATAACGTTATTAACGCTAACGAGGCTCCCATTACTTGCGCTCAACGTTAGCTGAGATTGATAGTTTTTGACTGCAGGTTATTTCTTCGATTTTGGTAAGTTTGCTTCAAAGACAAACAACGAATTAAAAAAAAACCACGCCGCAAACAAAACCAAAGAAAGCCTGAGTTGGTCTTCTAGGAGACGGATACACATGACTGTGGACGGTTCCTGTTATCATGTTGCGGGACGCAGACTGTTCAAACTGTAGCAGCGCTCTAGCTAGCGAGCAGCAAGCATTTCAACGCATTTTCGATTTGAAAATCTTGAGCAATGTCCGTCGTGGAGAAATGTACGGACAGCAGTCCTCACTGGCCTCCGAGTCGCATTCATTTTTAACCTGACAAACCTTTCATTTAGTCCACACCGAGACCCGCGCTACCCTTGGCAAAGCAGCCAATGCTAACCAGCCAAGCTAGCTCGCTAGCATGCCCGAGACAAAAGCCTGAATGAAGTTCCTATGGGTGCAAACACCATCCAGGTACCGCTGCTCTGCCAGAAGTGTAAACGCCGGGATTCAAACACACGTATCGCTTTAAAAAATAACCCTGACAATGTGCGTCTCTTCGAGGAAACGAGACAAGCGAGCTTACCCCTCCTGGTCCAGCTTTTCTTTCTTCTGTGCTCTGTTTGAATGGTGTGTTGTTGTAGGAGGGCGTCCTGTTCCGGGGTCACATCCCTCCAGTCGGCACAGCTACGGCGGACTGACTCAACGCAGAGCCAGAGTCCTGCTGGCTGTTCAGTACCGCTGCCGACCACCGGGGCCGCCACACACTGTACATGGTCTCCAGGATCTATTACCAAACTTACTGTCTGCTTCCAATAAAAACACACATCTCGACAAATACTAAAACGCCTTGCTGATACGAATTCTAGTTTCTGTATTGAGGTGCACTTGTAATGTAAATGTTTTTTTGGTTTCATACATTATAGCACACAATATGCACATTCTGAATTTTTAAGCAATCTGACTACTCTGCAAGGAAACTAATGCCCACACACGTAAATGTTCCAATATCAAACTATGTACACCTTTGTTTTATGTTATAAGATTGTATATACCCTAATGATGCAATTTCTTATACTAGCGGTTCTCAGCCTGGGGTCGGGGGACCCCCAGGGGTCCTTGAGAGTGTTGCAGGGGGTCCCCAGAAAAACTGTCCCCAGATAAGACTGTTGGGAATTGATAGATACATAAAATTAATCATTTATATACCTTTCTTTTTGTGATTGCACATCAGGCTGATATACCTGACAGAAAACTGGATTATCAGATATTTTACACTTTGGTTAAGTATGGAAGCCCTAAAGGGCCATGCATTCATACATTTTATTTCCTCCGTTTTCTCGAGATAACGAAACTTTGTTTTCCCGAGATAACGAAACTTTGTTATCCCGAGATAACGATAAAATTAATTCGAGATCTCGAGATAATGACTGTGATATGATAACTGCGGTCAAGCCAGCCGTTACTCCGATCTCCGTGGTCAAATCAGCCGCACTTAAATTTACAGCATATTCACTTCCGGTTTTCAAAGTAAAGGTATTAAGAAAAGTAAGCTATAATTCGAACCTACCTTTAAAATAAAATATGTTACATTAAAGTGTTTCATGCGCCCATGATGAATAAAAAACATACTTAATATCAAGCATTTCTACTGCACCAATGTGAATAAATGCCAAAACAAAAGTCCCATATTTGTATCTCCAAGTGGCATATTTTCATAAATTTGAGGTACAGTAAAAGCAGGTACAAATTTTATTTTATTGTTGAATTTCTCCAAATTGGTGCAGTAAAAATGCTTGATATTAAGTATACTTGTATTCTTATATGTGTAGAAGTCAGATATACTATCCATAGCCAGGAATTATTGAGCAATATGTTTTTACTGTACCTCAAATATGCAAAAATATGCCACTTGGAGGTACAAATATGGAACTTTTGTTTTGACATTGATGCAGTAAAATGCTTGATATTAAGTATGTTTTTTATTCATCATGGGCGCATTATATTATAATTATTAGAATTATAGCTTACTTCTCTTAATACCTTTATTTTGAAAACCGGAAGTGAATACCCTGTACGTTTAAGTGCGGCTGATTTGACCACGGAGATCGGAGTAACGGTTGACTTGACCGCAGTTATCATATCACAGTCATTATCTCGAGATCTCGAATTAATTATATTGTTATCACGGGAAAACGGAGGAAATAAAATGTATGAATCCATGGCCCTTTAGGGCTTCCGTAGTTTAAGGGTTCTGGGGAAAAAGACATGTTTTTGTGAAGTGTGAACTCCCACACACTTTAACAGGAGGCCATTTCTCTAAAATACAATGGAGAAGAAGGCTGACTCTGGTGGCTTTTGCCTTCATCTATGATCAACCTTTTTTAAGTTTCAAAAAATAGATAGAAAATAAAGCTAACATATGACTTGGATCCTAGAAAGTTTCAGTGCACTCTGCTATTGCAAACTGTTTATTGAGTGCATGTTTCCCTCCCAACAGCAAGTGAAACAAATGTGAAAACAGGATGCAGACAAAGGACAGATCAGGAGGATTTATCCGTTTTAGCTGCACACATGAAAATGAGGCCTGAATATTAACAGATTTGTACCATTGGACAGAATTCATGAATTACAGTCAATTCAAAAGGCAACAGCAGTATATTTTACAATTAGCTAAAGTAGCCCATCTACTCAATAGACTCACTCCTCCTCAAAAGCAGCTTAAAGCAGCAGTGTTTAGCTGAGCCCATACTGAGGGACATTGACGGCCCATATTTAAAGTCTATTCCACAGTGAATATTTCAATAGCTTTTAAATCTTCTTGCTGTGTAATCTACAGCTACACTTGCTCTTCTGTAAAAGTCATCATTGTACAGAGACTCATACAAACGTTACAGATCATTTTAACTGCTATGCAAAATAAAAATGTTATGAAAAGCGTCTTCCTTACAGGACTGTCAGCTAGATATACAGCATGTAAAGTATCTGTATGGACCATAAAATTCAATCATAGAGCACAGGCTTTGACAGACAAAGCACAGTATTAGATATGTCCAAGTATAGAGGTGTTTGACACTACAAGCAGGAAATCTCTTGCACGGCACCTGGCACATCAGTTAAAAATGGAATGGAAATTACACAGTACATAACTTAAATATCAGAAAATAACAGGCACGCACACATACACACACACACACACACACACACACACACAGACTGCATCATCGGAGATAGTACACATAGTCCAGATTTACACTTTCATAAGGGCCATGTGTACAGTACCACCATTTTAGAAACAAAACCACACCTCTATGGCTTAAATAAGTCCACAGATTCCTATTTGGGTTGTAATGCCCCATGTATTCAATATTTTGTCTGATCCTTGGACCAAACATCTATATGATATCTTTGCATACCGCCTGAGATCATTTCTTTTTCATTAGCTAATGGTAGTTGTCATTAAAGGAATAGTTTGACATTTGGGATAATACACCTATTCACTTTCTTGCTGAGAGTTAGATGAGAAAAGCAATATCACTCTTATATGAAGCTGGGGCCCGGACACAGTTACCTGATCTTAGTATAAAGACTATGCTTGCTACATAATACTTCCAACGTGTCCTTTTTGCACTTCAGTAAACAAGATGTAATGTGTTAATTGGTGAGCTGTAGATTTAGTTTTAGGTGCCTGTGGTCAGATTTAGTTACGTTTCAACCATAGGCTATATAATTAAAAATATACTTGGTTTTTATGACATCAAGCATCGGTTGCTGAGCTGTAGTGAAGCTCAGTGTGGTCGGCTCAGGCCGCTGCTATCTTGGCACTCCTGACTCCGCTGGCTCATGACTAATACAAAAATACGGGCAAATACGTGCAGTGTGGGTAGAGCTGAGGCAGACCAAATGAAGCCTAGTTGCTAAAACCAGCCACCTGTGATGGCACAGTCTTAATAACGTTTAAGCCTTGGTATAATTTAAACAAGGGAGTTACATAAAAACACTTACAGTTGTCATGAACGGGGCATTTTTGCTACAGAGACCGAAACCGTTTAATATGGGGCCTTATGGAGATTGACCACTTCTGGAGCCAGCCTCAAGTGGCTGTTCCAGGAATTGCGCGTTGGTTTCATTTCTCGACTACGGAGGCTGCTGCTTGGTTCCAACAGAGTCAGCCAAGCTTTTTACCCGTTTCCAGTCACTAAGCTAAAGGCCACTGTCTCCAGCTTCACATTTAACGGACAAACATGAGAGTGGTACTGACCTTCCCATCCAACTTTCAGCAAAAAGCTAATTTTTTTTTACCAAAATGTCAAACTATTCCTTAAATGCAGAGTAGCTGTTTGGTAAGAGTTTTCTAGGTAACACAGCCAGGTACACAGGGGTGTTATCAAAATAAAGGTCCCAGTTATCTTCTCATTTTACAATAAATTGTAAATGTTACAATGCTTCCTGTCTACTGGCACTACAAAGGCAACATACTGCACTTCAAGGCAATATTACATCAACCCAGCAGTAAAACACATCTTTTTAAAATATCCTTCATGACTTTGTACAAGTGCTTCAAAGCTAACAAATTAAATAAAATACAATAAAAAAACAAAAAACAAGATGATATTGCAAAAAAGGCATTTGCAATGAGAGGAAATGACACAGCAATCGAGGGTTGTAAACCATATAAAAAACTTGAGGTGAAACTGCCGCCCTTGTTATTGTACTTCGCGACTAAACAGTGTCGTCTAAAGTCATCATAAAGTTGGTTTGCAGTTTGCTCCCTGCTGAGTAATGCAGTCGGTGAGATGAATTTTCAATCTCTGCTTCTGTTTCAATGATTCATGATACTTTTGCATGAGCAGGTGGTTTTCAAGTAGCAATTTTAACACGTCAAAAAAGCACAGTTTATACATTTTGTTGATATGTCCTCAAGACAATCCATTATTTGAGGGCAGAACGATGAGTGTGATGGATGTCCTTCATTGCTAAAGTATCTGTGTGTTGAAACTATGCTCCATGATTACATCATTGTCTTTGGATGCCTCCTCTTAGTCGTTATATACCACAGGCAGGCCAGCGAGATGTAAACATTTGCTGAGTGTCTTTGAATCCCATTAATAAAGTAAAATATTTGATTGTGTTTTCTTCCGTTTTATCTCCATAAGCTTAAAATCCAACATTTTTGGTCTTCAGGTTCCCTTGGAGCAGTGTTCTTCAAGGTCTATTATCTTTGGCCAAGGAGTGCATCATCCAGTTGACCTTCGTCTTCCAGCTCTCCCGCAGAGCTTCGTTGAACTTCACTTTGAAATTCTTCAGTGCCTCTTCCTCTGATTTACCCAAAGCTAAAGAGTCCTTCAGAAAACAAGAAACCGAAACATTGTCAAAATTATTATCATGCCTTTCCTCCTCCTCCTCCTCCTCCTCCTTATCATCATCAGAAGCAGTATCATCATTGTTGCATACCTTTAGATACTGGATGTCTTTGAAGGAGGTGAGCTCTGGCAGTCCTGCTGCCTTCATCATAGCAAAGAGGTTGACGAACAGCGTCCCATTGCGACACAGGATCTTATAGGCCCGCTCACAGTATTCCCTGAACCTGACAACATCAATCATAGGTTATAAAATATGCAAACAGAATCCCACATCTAAAAAAAAAAAAGATTTATTATTATCCACAAAATAATATTTTACCTCTCAAACTTCTCACTGTTGTTCGTTCGCCCTTGCTGGA